CCCATAGATTATTTTGAAGAACTGTGAGTCATGTTTGTATTCTCTTTGTCTTCTGGAAGAAGCGCCTGAACACGTTAAAATGTGAACGGTGCAGCGGCTCTCTGTGTACTGTCGACCTAGCTACACCACCATCCCGCCAGACATGGCGCACGCTGATAGAAGCCTCATTTTCATTTAACTGTAGTACCACATCTTCAGCATCTAAGCTGATCCTCGACCTGCCTATTCTTACTGCCAGGCATTTCTCCTGATACATAGGCATTATGTACCCGAATAAATGTACGATGGTCTAGAAAATTTGTTGTACGGCTTCGATATTTTTCAGCAGTACTTCCAGAATATCCGTTGCACAGTCCATAAATGAAATGCATGTCTGCTTATTCATGTGACGAGTACCGCATCTTGAATCGAGACACATAAGTGAAATGAGTACGTCATTATCCACGAATCTCTTTTGTAGTACGGATGTTTATTTATCTATCATCTACCTGTTTTTATTAACCTATTAGTTAGGTAATATGTCGAGATTTCTATTACCAAAATCATGTCACCGCCGCCCTTCCGCACATTGATAAGACTGGCATCTCTTTGAATTTGAGTTGTCCCCCAATTGTTTTCCTATCATATTCAGAAGGTAGAGAAATCAACAATGACGGGTAAAGGGTGATTTAGGGTACTTGCAGCATTTTGTTTACTTTACCTCAAAACTATTCAGGATATTTGATTATCTAATAGGTACTTTGACACTTTATCGGCCTGCTAATTTTTTGTATAGGCCTCGTTGAATATGCTGTAACAGACAAAATTGCATATTAGCCGATTGCTGCACCTACATTAACTGGACTAAATTTCCCCTCATAGCTTTTTTTCTAGTGACACAGTATTTGGGAGCATATAATGTAAATATGATCTAAAAATGACAAAATATAACTTCACAAAAAATAATACAAATAGCGATTTTCCACAAATTCGTAAACCGTGCACAATCGTAAGACTATATATTATGGTTTTATGGTTTTTCTGATTGCAAATAATCTCCCCTATCTCCTTTTTCCGTTTCCATGACTTTTGGGACACCTAGTATTTGCTACTAGGCTACTGCTACTGCTTATTATTGCCTGACCTGCACGGGTTATGCTTATCTTGGAAAGTGACATTTCATTTTTTGACATTCGTAGGTTTTTGACATTTCTTAGGTTTTTCTACAAGATGTCAACCTAGCACTCATTTTGTAGCTGTACGTGTTGCTTAAAACGTCAGCGAACAGCGATCATAACAAGCAAACGTGGAATGGACTATTTGCACACTAAAAACTAGCTAGTCTGCAAGATGAACTTTCGTCGGTTCTTTTTTTTGACGTTTTTTAGGTATTTGACATAATAGCCGTGCTGAAAAGGAAAATCTCAACTTTGAAGACCCCCTGTATATCTTGAATTTTAACTTCTATAAAGCAGTCCAGAACACCGGAAGTCATACGTAAGTTCACGCGTCCACGGCGAAATATAAAAGGACATAATACCTTTATTAGATTACAAACATAAATTGTGCTATAGGTATATAAGAGAAAACGATTTACTGTCAGCATGTTCTGATGAGGAAAAGCTATTGCCATACATTGCGGATAACAGCTCGATTATGAAACATAATTACCTGATTATATAGGCCTATTAAACATTTGTCTATAATCAAGCGCATATACAGGTTTCAAGAGGTAGCGTCAAGCAGGACGTTTTGGTACTTCACATGCAGTAATACTACCATTAATATTATGCAACTGAAGTACTACACGAAAGATGTAGTCGGTAAGGAGTGACAAATCTGATTTTAATGGAACATTTTTCTCTAACGGATTTGGTTGAATTTCCGGTGATACATTTGTTTCTGCAAAACTCAAATAAATTTTGACAAAACAGGTCAAAGGGCTGTTGAAATCCTTTCGAAAAACGGATTTTCAAAAAAAGTTTGTAATATTTGGGATGGTGGACCCTTTGACACAGATTTACATCCCTGAGGCTTGGCCGTACTTTGTTGACACATCGTGTGTCACGATGCAAAATTTTGTTCATAATTCGGTATAAAATTTTGTAAAAAAATGACTTACTAAATTTAGTCCCTAATTCTCTTACCAATTACAATCTTGTCTGTCACGTGGAAAATTTTTTTAATAAATCTTGTATCATGCGCAGTTGGTAGAAAAAACTATAACTGTCAACTTAAACTGACGTTTGTCACGCAGGATTGCCATATTGGGGGATTTTCTTAGTAATTTGGAGAATTTTTACGCCTCTTGGGGAAGTTTTGGGGATAAAATGTTCTGGGAAATTTTTTTGGGGAAAATAATATTGTTGTGTATTTTTGGGGTATTTTATTCCATTTTTAACTACGAACAACTGTCCACTGATAACTAACAATTTTATCTTTCTGCAGATTTTTCTTTTCCCATGTCGCACCCACCTCCACAAAACATCTACAGTGACCCATCTCTAGACCTTTATGTCAATTGTAGATTGGTGGACATAGACATGTATCCATAGTCTTAGAACACAGATCAACAGCAGAATAATAAGTTGAAAACTGGGCGGTTGGTTTAGCTATCTTTGTTCGTCTTGTAGATTCACGGATTTGCCATTTTCAAATCCCCAAGTTATAGCGAATGCGCGTATCATTCTACGTTCTTGCTGAAAAAGCACTTATTTTCATTTTATACCACCCCCTCCCCTGTGGTCAGCGATCGTCAACTAGTCCAACCTATACAACCCCCCTCGACTACTAAAATAAATATGATTTAAGAGTTTTTTTTAAAAAGGCTGTATATCTGGGAAACTTGCGTACTAAATTCAGCACAAAATTACGTATCGTGACAGGCGGCCTTTAGTGGGAAGTCATAAAAATAAAAAAAATTAGTGACTCATCCAGGTCTATTTCGACAATTTGTTTAGATTTCAAAAGAAACCACTTGTACAAGATTTGGATGGACAAAATACTTTCAGCGATCGATTTCTCCGATATTTTACAAATGTATATCAAACGTCGAAATTGCTCTATATTACAAGTTTTATTAAGATCATCTATAAAACATCTGTTTAAAAAAAAAGCGCAAGGAACATTGAATTAGCATATTTATAGCCCTCAATTATTGCTGAAGATTGGAATTCCGATCGTTTCTATTTCATTTTCCAGTAATGATATAGCTGGTTAGTATTCTGCAAATGTGATACAATTTCACTTTTTTGCGGCAAGATGTATAATAAATTCTTTCAAGAAATCAGATCTTTAGATAAGCCAGGGTACATTCTTTCAACAAGATAGTCCATTTGCATAAGAATATTAGACATACATCAAAGAATGGTGTCAAGTGAGTTGACTCTGCACTTCTCACGCAAAGCTGTCATCAGCTTATAAAATGTTCGGCACCAGTTAGCTCCTCTGAGAACAAAATACCTACGAACATGTATAACATTAAATGGATCAAGTTAGCCACAAGGCACATTCAACAAAATACCTACGAACATGTATAACAAAATATTAAATGCCACAAGGCACATTCAATTGCACATTTGACAACGTTGTGATCCAGAGATTTCTCCCCTATCCTACCGACAGTACCGAACATCTGGCAACGTTGCTATGACTAGCTCAATAGCTCGCGTTCACCAAGACGGACTAGTCCTAGGAACAAGGTCGCCAACGAACTATTTTACACAAGCAATACACATAACGCGTTATGTTATGCCAGTGAAAACGCCGTCTTTTGTACGATCGCAGGAGCTAAGCAGCGTCGGGCGCGGACAGTATTTCGATGGATAACCGCTTCGGAACACCTCGTATTGTTGAATTTTTGGTATTTTTTTTCTGTCAGGATGGATATTTCAAATTTAAATAGTCCATGTAAACTATCGCTCGCATAGTATATGTAGCTACGAGATATACCTGTTTTAAATTTTTTTATTAATAATACATAGCTTTGATTAGGGTTGCCAGATGTTCTCCTTTCAGCAGAACGCCATACTGGCGCGGACGTATTGTAATCGACATTTCGAAAATGTTTTTTGAATGATATATGATATTTTCATCACAAAAAAACATGTTACTCATTCTCTCTCTCTCTGTGTCGATCTGTCCGCTAATCCTTGGACCGCGTAAAACTTAGAAAGTACTGCTCGAACTTGGATGACATTTTCTCACAAGGTTACTACTGTACCAATGACGAAAGGTTCTGCAGTTTTTGAAAATCGGTTCAGAGACGGCGGATAAATTGGCCAAACACAAAAAAAATCGCCAAAATTCAGTTTTTTACGTTTAAAAAATAGGGGTTGTATGTCAATTTCTTGATGTTAGTAGATTTATAGCCAGGCTCTGGCTCAGGCTCCCAGCGAAAAATATCCTCAGCAGAGGTATTGCGTAGCTATCGACCGTGTCTGTTTCTGCTCCTGGCGGCGTGCCGGTTTTGATAATTGGTTGGGTATTATTTCCGCGTATGGGGCAGGGAAAGAATGTCGATAGACTAAGTGTTCTCTTTAACGTACTTAGAGGGTCTAGCTTGTGCTGAATGAACATAATCCTTCATGAACTGAAGATGGCGTTGAGTGAGAAGTGCAGAGTCAACCTACTTGACGCTATTTTTTAGTATTACATTCGAAAGCTAAGCAGAAAATGATCCGAAACAGAACAAAATTTTGAGACGATTTTGATCGTCAGGTAAAACTTTTTTTCCGAGTTCATAACCCAGTGGCAGCAGGGATTGTCTAACATAGCAGAGGATCCCCTAAAGTGGTGGCAAATTATTTGAGATACTTAAAAAACGTTTGTGTTCTTTAGCGACATCTGTGCCATGCGAGTGGCTTCTTTTCGGAGGAGAAGCAAGTTTTGTCAGAAGGAAGAAATAGACTAGAAGTCAATAAAATTAAAAAGTAACGTTTTTTAATGGAAATTTGTAGATAATTTTCAATTTCATTTTAGTATTGTTTGTATAAAACTTAGTTAATTTTTATTTCTTTCAGCTTTTGTAGCTAGCAGCATTTGTTATTATCTTTTTTAATAACTTTATTTTGTCCTGTTTGATATCCTTGAACTAAACCACGATCTCATCCAGGCAACCAGTTGTACATCCTTCTGTTTACTTGGTTGCCTGGTGTCCCATCTCTTATAGCGTTCTCGTTCGTTCACTCACAACTAGTTTGCTTGGGTAATCAAGATCCTGTAATAAGTTACTAATAAGTAACTAGTTCACTTAGTTCAGTCATAGGAATCGTTTGAACTAGACCGCCATCGGTCAAACCGCGACACAGGTATATACAGAGATGCGTGTTTAGAAAATATTTCTCCATCATTCTACACAGTACTGTACCTTGACGAACAAAAAACGTCCTAGCGCTCATCCGGTTTGGATGGCCGAGTTCTGCCAGGGAGCCGTTCATTTCGACTGGTCGGAGTCCAGCTCACGGAGGACTTGATTTGGCATGAACCCATCTCGTCAATAGCGGCAGCTGCTGGGAAAAGTCTAGGCTATTTGTTTAAGAAGTATGTACTTTTCTCAACATGACCTCCTCACTCTATACAAGGCCCAGATGTGACTTAGCCTCGAGTATTTCTCACACGTTTGGGGTGCTACCGTCCCGACTACATTGTTCATGCTCGATGCTGTCTAGAAAAGGACTGCCCGACTGATCGATTACTCTTCTCTAACAGAAAGTCTCGGGACCCTTTCGCTCCGGCGGGCCGTCGGCGATCCATACCTCTTCTACCGCTACACCAACGGCTTTGCTCTTCAGAGCTACCTCCATGATGCCGCCGCGCGATCTGCCTGCCAGACAGACTCGCCTGACTTCGGCCTCCGATCCTCACCGTGTCGAACTTTCTATATCCAGAACTGGCCAATACGACCGTTCGTTTGTCGCTAGGGTGTCGAGATTATAGAACAGAGGAGGCTTTTCTCAGTTCTTCTGTCCTTAGGCAGTCCAAAAATTGGATTAACAAAGTTTCTTTGAGATCCTCATAGCAGCCGCGGTGTCCAGTCTTCTACTAAGCTCTGACTCAAGTTGATTTTCTAATTAGACAAAGGGTACTTTAACAGTTTTGCAATACAGCGCCACAAATCATAAGTCACGTGCTAATAAGATAACTATATTTCATCGCATTTATTTCTTGAACTTTTCCTAATGTGTTCATAAAACGCTCGTAATATTTTCCATAGAGTACATCAAGAACGGATATTTATATGAGAGGAGGTTGAAGACATGTGCAAAGTTCATTCTAAGAATATTTTATTGTTGCAGAACAGTTCCGCAGTCTCTTCAAGAATTGTTACTTCCTACGTCATTTGGACTGGCGTGGAAGTATTGTAATCGCTAATTAATTTAGAAATGAGATATTATGGTTAGACATGTACATCACAAAGAACTACGTTACTCATTTCCGTCAGTCTGTGTGTCCGCTAATTCTTGGTCCATCTATAACTTGAGAAGTACCGCTCGGATTTTGATGAAATTTTCACACAAGGCGATCACTATGCCGAGGACAAAATACCATCCCGCACATTCACCCTTAAAACTTGAATGATGAAGATATATCTTCGATTTACGCAAGCCGGACAACTCAATAAGCGTACGTGGAATAACTGATAATCTGATCCACTGAGCAATGATCCGTGTATACGGGGTGTTTCAGAAAGAAGTGTCAGTATTTCTATGCTAGAAACTACATCCAGAAATAACAAATAAAAGTTCCTATAAATATGAGTCTAAAGATGCCCTCCTACCGAGATACAGGGTGATGAAGTATTATTTACTTGAAAAAATAATTACATCTACGGAGCGGTTGAAGATACTGAGTTAAGATTTTAGACGTTCAGTGATCACATCATTGACAATAAACACACAGTTTCCCAGCCCTAACTAAATCAAGGAAGTAGAAAATGAGGACCTTAGTAGGAAATATTTCCTACGCCACTGGCCTTCTCGGAAAAAAGAAGTGCATTTTATAAAATACCATTCAACTGTTCATAAATTTGATCTTTTAAGGAATATTTGAGGTAAAATCCTAAAATATTCTCATGAAAAGGTTCATCTTCCCTTATTCTGAAAACACCGTGAAACTTGATATTGGAAACACTATACGGCATGCGAAGAAAGCAATGGCACCTCATTACAACATTGATTGAATAATATGCGTGTCATATCCATAATCGGTAGCGTAGAAGCTTAATATTAATTCATTCATCTTTTCCGTCCACGCCACTGGTTTTGCCGGTATATTCATTTTTAGCACGCTTTTATTAACACGCTTTTATCAGCTTGGTCTGTATGTATGTAACGAAACCTTTGAGCATAATTTTCACCAATTTCCAGAAGTTTGGATAATTTGGAACTTCGCACACAAATCAAGGACCGATGACAGTGCAACAATTTGATAACAGTTTTCCATTATCCTTATTAGGACCGCCAGGATTGACAAATTCTTTTATAGATCCTCTGTAGGAGAGTAAAAGAGATAGAGCTAGCGCGCGATCTGCGATGCGTGCAGTTTCGGACTTCACTTTGTTGATTCGGGCACTCGGCACATCACAACGGAGGCAGATACTTTTTCAAGGTAGTGCATTCTCACCTTGTGCATTCCGAATGTTGCCATAGATCCTGAGTTGGGCTTCGACCGTCCACAAGATGTAAGGTTGTACAGTCGATCATTCAGTCATTTATCTAGGCTCGCGAGTGTTTGCTGCTGGACAAGCTTATGTAGCACTTGGTCGTGTAAGATCTTTAGACGGCATTCGGATTGAAGAACTTGATCGCTCTAAGTTGACAGGAAAAACCCCATGCAACAGTGAAGCTTTAAGTGAAATGATTAGATTACGAAATGATTTGTAAGACATTTCGATACCACATGTCCACAAAAAACTAATTGATAAGTCGAACTAAAAAATGAAGAATAAATAATAGTTTAAAAAACACGCTTCTATAGCTAACCGAATTAAAAAGTATTGTTACTATCAGTACATCCCACGAATTGAGACTAGGTAGAAGTGGCCAGTCAATGATGTGTATGTCTCCTAATTGTCATAGTCTGTAGGGATGATCAAAGTGCACATGACATAAGTCAATTTTTTTACAGTTCTGTCATTAAATTTAAATTTTGGTGTTATTTCTTATAAAATGCTGGTGTTTGCAGACAATCGTGGTGTTAGACGATTTCACGACATTGTACTTCTTAGATAATTTGCAAAGAGCGGAAAAAGTCTAATGAAGGTAGATGTTTCCACCTGTAGGTATTATTATTATGTTGACACAACACTATACCTTTGGTAGGCATTGGTAGACAGATAAGTCAAAAGTGTGCAAATTCGGCGACAAAGAATGCAATGTGAATTGCTTGGCTTCTTCTATCCTACTCGAATTCGTTGGTTCCTACAGAGTTTATTTTATGACTGAAATTACTGAAGTTGAATGTATGTACTTATCCCAGTATTTTGACAGCCTGAATAAATTGGGATATTTATGTTCATAAATTTTAGATTTATCTAGATATAGCGAATAAATTTTAAAGATTAACTTTGTGTAAAAATTTACCATTGATTTATTTCAACAAAATTGACAGATAACTGGATTTATTTGTTAATTAGTGATTAGTGATTAGGTAAAACACGATTATGCAATAAACTTATAAAAGGCTAGCGGTTATGTGTGATTATGATTAGAATGTAACGGAAAATCGTGGTTATTTTGCATCTAACGCAAAAACAAATACTGAGCATGAGATTAAGTAATAGTAAGTGTATGTTGATTCATCAATGCGTGTAACTAGGGATATTAACGAAGTATGAGGTATTTACAAATTTCGAGCCGTTAAAACAACGTAGTCTCGAAAATTACCAAAGCCTTTAACAGCAGCTGCGGCAATTGTCGAGTTAATGTCAAATCGTGTTATCAGAGATATCAGAGTCGACATATCGTAACTAGTAGCTTTATGCCAGTGGCGTATGCATAAGTTGAGTTACGGTAAGCGTGCTCTACCGATGGATGGATGTAAGTAAAATTTTACTTTGGTAGCGGGAAAATCCGTGTATTTTATAGTATTTATGGAGTGTCGAAGTTCAAAGGATATTGGAGGAAAGTTGATAAAAGATAAACATGTCACTAAGGAAATCACCAATGATTTATTTTCCTATTTCCATATGATATGAAATGACTACTAAACTCTCAAAACAGGTTTAAAATATATGACGTTACCATCTACAAGTTTGAAATAATCACACATAAAATTTGACACACATATCGATAACTAATCGCAATGCGAGAAAAAAGAATGACACAATGCTTCTGGATCTGACCTGGAATTTTTTGGATCTAGAACCATATATTTAGAGTCCTAATACCGTCAAAATAAAAATACCGAAGATTGGAACCCTTTACCTCCAAAGCATCTCAATTCCCAAACTTGAAACATACGAATTACCCAATGCTTTGCTAATTTTTCGATTAATAAATAAATAGCTAACACCAAAAATTGGTAAAGAACGTGATCGTAATTTGGTACTGCACGCAAGAGCACATAACAAGTGTTGAAGCCAAAAATGATCCCTGGAGAGTACCTGCGCTGGCATTCTGGGTCAATTATGACAGATACCAAACTACCATATAGGCAGTCAATCACTCATCTGCAAGGTCAAGGAGCGATCATACCGCCCAGTTCTAGATGTACGAAGTTCGACATAGCTGGGATAGGAGGCAAAAGTCTGGCGGGTCCGTATACCCGGGCTGAAGGCGCGGTGGCATCATAGAGGAGAGTTCTGAGTGGCAAAGTTCGTTGGCATAGCAGCAGGAGAGAGCCAGATCGTTGTTGAGTGAGAGAGCTCGAGACCATCCCTTAGAGGAGTGCCATTGATCAGTCGGGCAACCCACCTGAACAGCATCGAGTATGGATGTGTATGGATATGTGAGCTGTACTCGAGGGTTTGTCTTATCTGGGCCTTATACAGAGTGAGAAGGCTATGTAGAGAAAATACCTACATCTGGCCAGGA